TTATTTCATGTAATTTACGATCGAGAATTTCTAATGCATTTCAAATTTTTTCATTTGAATATTTTCCATAGATGCCAGCATGTCATTAATTCTAGCAGAACAGATTTAAAAAATGTTGCAGTCACGATTTGACACAAAAGTTCAACGAAAACGTTTGTGAGTACAACCCTTTCAGGACTAAAAATGTGGAACTGACACATGTTTTTCAGCTTAATTATTCCCTTTGTTGAAAGAAAGGGTCATACAGCGTTAAAATCAGCGCCTTGAAATGCAAAAAAGTCTGTCTGTCCTATCCAGTCAGGATACAGCATTTAGTAAACTAGTAAAAACTATACTGGTCATCGAGATCGACGAACTCGAATATGACAGCAGTTTTTCAAAATTCTTATTTACTAGTTAGTTCCCTCTACTAAAAGAAGAGTGATGTGCAAAAAAAGTAAGGTCAAAGATCAAAAAAAGCATTTTTTGAAAATGTTCAGATTTCAATGAAATATCGTTTGGGATAGGTTTCGAAGGGTGACCGAACGTCGTTTGCACTAGACTGTAAGTAGAACACGTCGGAAAGTAATCAGAAAGTTGAAATTTGTTTGTGTGCGTGTCTGTCGCAGGTCAGAAGTCACCGAAATTCATTTTCACATACTCTGAAGGAACGCTGATACACTCAACTCGTTTTTAATGGGGGTACCCATGGGTCCCTACGCCCAATGTTATGAGGATACCCATAGGCTCTATACAGGCTTACTAAATCCGAATTTTCGAAATCACGGATTTTTCATAAGAATACAGGAATTCATCAGCAGATTTTTGCTTCTACATCAGGAAGAAAATGAGAAGATTTTCTTTATATAATCAGGAGCTATTACTAGATCATATTGAGCTTTAGAGTTATTCTATGTGTATAGCTATGAAAGCTTTTTAAGCTTCTATAGCAAACTAATGATAAACGAGTTTCATACTGTCTAAGTCAAGACTAAGAAAAATAAGATTTTTCACTCAGTTTGTCTCCAAACATATATTATCGATAGTCGTTCGAAACAAAATAAATAGACAACCAAAATTAACTTCATGATTAATATAAATCAAGATACATGAAGTAGAAAATATGTAACCAACTATCTATACTAATGAATTGGTGATATCTTGGCAATATGACTATATTTATCTGATGAGCGAATTCTTTTGACTATATGAATTAGTTTTTGATGGAATAGAAAATAGGCTTATCAACAGGTATTGGTTCAAATGATTTGGAAAGAGCACCATCTGATGAGAATGACATGTCTATTTCAATAATTTCATATTCTGACGGCGATATTGGATTGAGAACAACTGATGCATGTAAAAAACTATTTCTTTTGATTAAGATACTTTATTTTTAGAGAAAGTATATAAAACAGAGTATTTTCCTATTGCACACTAACTATAGTCTTTTCTTTTTTCCCTTAACTATTGATTAGCTAAAGATGTCACTGATTGCCAACTAGTGAAAAACCAAAATCAGGAGGTTTAGTATATCTGCCATGGGTAGTTTTTGATAATTTCAACAGAAAATAAAAGCGAATCAAAATAACGAAGAATAAGCAAGTTAGAGAAATCGTTTGTTGAGTTCGTGATTTCTGCGTTCTGGAACACATATCCTAAGAAAAGTTTCTTCATCTCAGCATTATCCAAAATTTTCTCAAACACACTTTCCTGAACAAAGGTTGAATCCAAAGCTGGATTTTGGGTGATGTGAGAATGAATTATCCATCATATGTTCATAAAGTTTAAGCTCAATAGCATGTCATATGGTGGAGATCACATTTTGAAAAGAGAATGATCAAAAACTTTCGTTTCGAAGGTCGATAAGGAGTCTTAATGAAACCTTTTCTTTCTCGACCGAAAATTTTCGATTTCTCCTTTTCTTATCAGTGTTACTCATACTACAATTTTCTTGCGACCTAAGGATACTTTGAGAACCGGAAACCAATCTTTTTGAAGATATTTTCTTTTTTTATTCTATGCAGTATTTATTCGTCGTGTGATTTTTGACATATTCTAGAAAACTACCACCACTACAGACTCGTTTTCTGATCTTGTTTCTACACTATTCTCAGTAATAGAAGATTTCGCCTCAATTTTTCTTTGCTAGTCACACAAGAAAGTCTACCCTGAAATCAAATAAGAATGTTTGCTAGATGCAAGAGAAAGAAGGAGTTGCAGATTATTTGTAGTCCTTGTATTCTGATCATGTCGAACCTAGAAGTATGCAACACTTGTTTAACTCAACAGTATCTATCTATGCATGAAGAGGAAACTGTTTTTTGTCGAATCACCGCAGCATGGGTGCAAACTCTGTAAATCGCTGTGGTTTGAATATTGACGCCTATATTTTTTGTTATTTTCTTGCCTAGTCTTTTAAATATGTTCAAGAGCAAAGTATGTTGACAACATGAATAGAAAATTACGAAGAAATCCTTTTACCAATACACTTCTCTATTTATTAGTGTAACTTCAAACTTTTCCACTGTGTTCAAAATTGCAAAAAATGAATTTTCTCTGATGTCTGCGTCCATGCTAATTATTTAATAAAGAATACATATACTCACTGAAGCGATTGAGACTGACGTTTTTTAAACCAGATACGATGATCGAGAAGTTCCCTCGTACATTTGCAAAATAAGTTGTCACAACCAATATGTATGTAGTGTTGACTTCTAGATATGTGGTGAATCTAAACTGGTCATCACCACCGCTACTGTCGTCATCTAGGAGTACATTTTTAAAAGGACGGAATGGATCAAAATTGTTCTTATAGAGAGAGCCATATGTGTCCAGTGCGCTAGTACTGCCAAGGGTATAAGAGTTACTGTCAGCCACGTTCACTTGTATGGCGTCATAGTAATAGTTTGCCTGTCTACAATATCGAGAGAACGTTGGACTCTTCGCAGTCAGCTCCGATGAGTATATCGATTGGACAACTGATGAAGAAGTGTCTATTGAATAGAAAAAAAAACAAACGAAATTGGTGATGTGGATATATAAATGATAATCATTGCCGATGTCCCCTTTGCTTTTCGAATATATATCGCATGAACTATGTTGACGCATGTTATTTCTCGGCTAGTTTTGGTCATGTAATTGATAAGAACATAAGTTAATATCTGAAGTTAACATCTCGATGATATATATGTGGGAAAACAAAACATTGCAGTCTGTATTTAAGATATGTTGTCAATATGAAAAGAGATTTGTGGAAAAGTAATGACATGTTTTAAAAGTCCGTGGAGATTTCTATCACCGTGTATGTTTATATCTCAGTTTACAGTGAAGTATCATCAAAATAAATTGAGTGCAACAAGAATAGCCTCGTGTCAAGATTTCTACAGACATGAATCTTTTTGTGATCAAAATTATTTTGATAAAGTTTTCATCATTATAAAATAATTTTATTATTTCAAAAATGTCTTTTCATAGCGACGATATATCTAAAACACGCACTGCAATTAGTTTTTTTCACCCGTAGGTATCAATCTTTGTGCAGTATGGAAAACGATTGATTTATTGAAAGATAGTTCGTATTAAAATAGTTTTACGAAAGATATGTGCAAGTTCAATGCTAATTAATCAAATCAGTTTCGCAAAGTTGTAATTGGCTCTTTAAAAGAACTCGACAGTAGAGTTCTTCTGAGGATAAAATGTGCAACTCACATATCTTTTTCTTCAGCTTCATTTTGCCAGTGAAAAATCTCTAATTGTCCATAGTTGTTCTTCAAAAATTGTCAGTAATCAGTAATTAGAGAAAGGATTTGTCTTACTAATTGCTACACATAGAGAAGAATCTTTTTTCTTTTTATACTGTCACTCTATATTCTATTTGTCTTGATACTATTCGTTCCTTAGTTATCTTCCTTTTTTGTTGTGTTTTCTTTAATTTCCTATTTCAATTATTCTGACCATCTATACCACTGACAAATAAGCCTGTTGAAAAATTTTATTGCATTTACGGCAGGTCTCAATCTACTATTCTGTATCGCAATAAACTAAGAAATATTAATGTTGATTATTCATTGAAACTCGAACTTCATCAATGAATGCTTTTTGTGTCTGTCATATGATTATGACAAATGAATGCACCACAGACCATCATTTATGATATCTATTGCAGAAGTATTTACTCGCGCGATAGTCAGAAACTGCTGTGAATCCCTCACCTGCCAATTCAAAACAGAAGATCCTTCCTGATCAGAAGTTTCTCAGTTAAGGACGTTCCATAGATCACAACTCCATCTCGAAGCAATATGGGAATAAATTAACTTAGGATATTTTGCTACTCATTAGAATGTTCTAGATAGAAGTAGTCTCGATACAAAAGCTTTTTACCAGCCGCAAAGATTCCCTCGTCAGGAATATCAGAAAATTTTTTTTCGAATTTCGATTTGTAATTAAGAGCAGTCAGTAAAACTGAAACTTTCACAAAAAAACTACTCTCATTATAGAGTCTTCATCGATACAAAATTTCAAATCGAAATTCAGAAATAAAATTTTCCGATATTTCTGAGGTGACCACAGGGATAAGAGTTGTTCGTATTTTAAAAATACAAAATCTTAGCAATCATAGACTGGGGAAGAACCCTTTTAGGACTCTCATCTACACTGTGAACTATACCTATGGGTAAAATATCAGCTCAAACGGGAGGTGTCACCTCAAATGATTCACCGTCGAGAAGTGCTTGGCAATAAGTTAGCCAAAGGTATTTGTTAGGATTCGTTTGTCACTCACTCTATTTTATTTGTAAGTGACAACAGCTTCTATACGAACATAGAAACAAAGAAAAAAAGACGTAATCGAGCTGAGATGATAGCATGAGAGAAGATATCAGAAAGAGAGAACAAGGACGAAAAGATCAAGGTATCGGAATACACTCTATCAGTATTGTAATCAGTTCGGTAGGAAATTCCAAAATAATATGTATATTTGAGTTTTCGGACTGTTGATTTCTCTCTTTTGTACCTCTGTGCTAATTATTCAGTAGGTATTGCAGATACTCACTGATGCGAGTCAGAGTGATTTTATTTGAGCCAGATGCAGAAATTGAGAAGTTTCCTTGCATCTTTGAAGCAGAAGTTGTCACAACCAAAATGTATGTAGTGTTGATATCAAGATAAGAGGTGAATTTAAATTGATCACCACCACCGAGGTTGTCATCCTGTAAGAATAAATTCTTAGACGGATTAAACAGATTAAAATTGTTCGTGTAGAGATAGCCGTATGTATCGACTGTGCTATTGCTGACAAGAATGTAACAGCCACTGTCAACGAAGTTCACCTGTATAGCTTCATAGTAATAGTCTTCTCTTTTACCATGTCTTAAGTACATTTGACTGTCGGCAGTCAGCTCAGATGAGTACATCGATTGAACGATTGATGGAGTGTCTATTAAATGAAAAGCAAAACAATCAAATTTCACAATGTGGGTAGATAAATGGAAATCATCGTGAATGTTCTTTTTGCTGTTCAAATCTGTGTTTGATAATGGTTGCTTGAAGCATACCCTCATGTATTAGTTCTACGCTACTTTTGGTCATGAAATGGAGAAGAACATACGATAAAACACGAAACTCACGTTATCACAAAATATAATTGATAAAAGAAACATCTTTTGTCAGAGAAAGGAAATTTCCTCTCAGCTTCTTTGAACCATGGTTTTATTAGATTTTTCATCTGATACGAAGACGTTCAATAATCGAGTAGATCTTCTAACGCAAGTACAACACCCTTAGTTTATGTTTTCTGGACGAAGTCGACTAAGTCTGAAGTTGAGTCTCTTTAGTCAAAAAAGAACAGAAATGGAAGATAGGTTAGTGCATATATGATCCAGATTATATTTGTAAGTTAATGACCGATCGCTGGCATAGCACTTAATCAACGTAGATTATGTCATTCTATGATAAGAATATATAATCTGCTTACTGATCTGTCTTGATTTCTGACGGTTCCAAGAAACGCCGCGATCTCATAAAAAAGCACTTTGCAAGAAGCGCCTAAAAATGTTCATCTTGCAGATGGCGTGATTTGGATCTGAAGTTCTTTCGGTATATATGTCTCATAGACCACAGAAGATTTGAAAAGTTTCAACGCGAACAAATGTTTCGTTCTTCAAATAGTGATTTTTTTTAAAATTCATCATCTTTGAGAAAGACTTCTACGGATCACAAAACCCATATATGGAAAAAAATTCAGAAACCTGCTTCTTTTCTCTTGGAAAAATACCGAAGTGAAGTAAGGTTAAATATTTAGATACAGCTGTAACTTGAGATCAAGTTTTGTATCAATCACTTTCCTCAGAAGAAATTTATGATTCAAATCACTTACTGGAAGTATTGTTCACTAGAATAAATTTTTGAATTCGCATGTTATTCAAATCAGCGACGAAGATGTTGCCGTACCTGTCAAAAGCGGCGGGTGATGGGTAAGCTAATTGATTAGGGGCTTCGCCCTGGACACCTGAGCATCCAACTAAACAGCGAAATCCATCAGGTGCTGATCTGATAATGCGATGATTATTTTGATCTACGATGAATAAGTATTCATCAGCATCCATAAAAATGGCTGTTGGACAATAGAGCGAAATGTTTGATGATACACCCCTTCCCGCTACAGTTATTCCATCTAGCTGTCCAAACTTGAACAGTTGGACTCTGTCATTCTCCGAATCGGCTACGTATAAATCAAAGTTAATGCTAACGAATATTCCCTTAGGAGTTGCAAGCATATTGGAATCTGGCCCTTTAGTGCCATTACCCGCAACAACATCAACAGTTTCCATATTCATACTGACATTGAGTGAATGCTTCACAACTTGATGTCCGTTGAACAAAGAACAATACAGATAATTAGCGATGTCCACAAATAATCCCCAGCAACTACTAATGATCTGTATTTCGATAACACTTTTCCTTGCATCCAAGGTCCATTCCTCTACTTGATCTATAGAGTCATTATCAACGTGAATGTCGCCATCAATTGAAACAAAAAGGCCCTTAAGACTGAACCAATTACCAAAGATAGTCACAGTCGTGCTACCCTCACGCCACTCTCGAACATCTGCCTTCCATATTTTAAGTACATAGACAGTATTGCTTCTTTCGACGAAAAGACTGCTCGATTTCCAGTCGATTGCTGCTTCAACTGCAAATGTGATTCCATCAGGATTCCAGCATGCATCTGGAGACAGTTTTGGTTGGTTGTAAAATACTTCTATAAGATTAAAGATAAATAATATAATGACAGTTATACTACTCAAAACAAATGATCTGAATAGACTCGGTTTCTGCTCAAAGAACAGTTGAGGTTTGATGTGAAAGATAAAAGTGATATTAGTCTATCGCATACACACGGAACAGTCTGTGTGAATAGCAGAAGAGCGTACTTAAAGATAAACTAGAAAATTTTGCAACTGAAATGTTACCTCTAATGAAAAGATCAGCAGTCATACTAATTCAGTTTTAACGAGAACATCTAGTTGAAAATTACCGCTAGAACAAGTGTAAAACTATCTTGTAATGTGAAGACCTTCGTGAATAATTCGACTATCAATACTTCAGGTGCTCTCATGGAGACATTTAACCATGAGGAAATTAAACTTTCTCATTTTGTCGACTTACTGTGCAACAATTCGTTACCATGCGATTATGTTTTTAAGAAAATTATGAAGAAAATGAACAAACTATGAACTCAACCATCAGTTTGCCTAATGAGAGCATTTCAAATTTTTACTGCCTAGCAACGTCCTCAGTTGATTGATCACTTACCGTTGCTGAGAAGTTTTTAGTACTCAGTCGCAATGTCTTAATACAATGTGACAAAGAATGTGCCAGGCGAGACTTTTCATTCTCAATCCGGACATCGAAACACATTTTCTTAATCGTCTCTACCGAATGAAGTTAAAAATCAAGGGGCAAACAGCTGACTCCAAATTTATATCAGAGTTTCGAAAACTCGGAAAGTATAGTGGAGTACAGTATAAACTATTCGGAGTAGATAAAATATAGCGGAGGCCAATGTGGAGTATGGGAGTAACATTTGGAGTACCGGAGTATTGAGAGCCTGAAGTGCCGTTTCCCCTTTGTCTGATTTTCGTAGTCTCGATCCTCGTCATTGTCCAAATTGAAGTTCCGCTCAGGATCACCGAACTGAGATCGAACTAATCTTCAATATCTCTGAATAACTCATTCATCTCTGTTGATTAAAACAAATCTACAAAGTATTCTTTTTCTTATTTAATGTATTGACAAGGAATCTTGATGGTGACTAGTGGATACGCACATCGGTCGATTCTGAGAAGAAAATTATCTCAAAAATAATCAACAACTTACAGTTCTACGCGAGAAATAGAGTATGCATTTCTCTGAGATGAAAGAAAACACAATCAGTAATCAATTCAGACTTCTCGAAGGTATATGATTTTGATTGAAAAATGATTATTTATGCATCGTTTTGGAAAATATTACTTCTTTTAACAAGTCAAAAACCGTGAAACATTTACCTGCGCTTTGGACTGTTTGGTGAAGAATGATTGAGATGTAGGGCCACATCTTCAAAATATTGATACTCAACATTCTGTAAAATATATTGTCCTTCCTATTACATAGTTCAATATTAAATGAGATATACTGAGAATAACAATCATTTTTCACCGACTTCCTCTTCTGTTTTTTCTCTCTCTCTCTCTCTCTTTCAGGGATAAATATGATTGGACGAGTTAATAGCGACGAGCAAATCTGTCAAAACGCCTGTAACTAATATCCGTTAATAAAACGCTCGAGAAGAGATAGAATGAGAGAAGTCATGTACTACCTTCGACACACAGTTTAGAGTTAAGAGCTGTGATAAAATCACAGCATCCACTGTACTGAGTTCTAATATTCTGTCAAATTTCATCATACCATTTCAATCTTCAGATATATACCGTCAATCTCAGAAACTGTGATTCTAATGAGAATTGACTTGACGTGACAATCAAAGTGATTCTGATAATCATGCATTTGCAGTTTCTCCAATTACTAAACGTGTTAAAACAAGTATCTGTAAAGCACGATTAGTAAATGCATCCAAATCGTGATAAATCCAAACGACAAAGATTTGTTTGATAGAATACCTCCAGAGATTATTCAACTGCAATAACAACGATGTATTTTTAATTACTTTAAACCATTTAAACATGTTAAGAATATCAATAACATTCGATGTGACCAGTTTCATTTCACCCTCGATTGAGTAATTAATATCTATTGAATCTGTTGATGTACCTTTCGGAAAAACTTTACTATAGAATGAGATATCTATGTAAATGTGTATGTATCTATGATTAATAGTTATGAAAATAAATGAGACACTTCGGACTTTATTCGAATGTTATGTGTGCTGCAAAAAGTGTATGAGGCAGATGAGTCATTCTAGAATGTGTAAACATCAAAATTTCCATGAGGAATCTTTTTGTGAGCACGATTTCCCTCGACTATCGAGCACATCTAATACTCGAACTCTTCGCCTTCACTCACCTAAGAAAGCCATTTTTCATATAACTGGATCTTCATTGGATACCATTCAACCAATAGGGTTCCGAGGCAAAAGGAGTACACATTCGAGTTCTCCGACCCAGAAAATTTGGAAGTAACATGTTTTGATCAGAATAAAGAGCCCTAATTGTGAATCAGCGAGATCGTTGAGAACTTTGAAAACAGTTCTTCTATAATGATGTTTGCCATATATTTCAGTGAAGGTAAAGAGAAGAGTTTTGAAAGCAATTGAATATTCAAATGATTGAAAAAGTGATCAACTTCTCGAAAAGTTGGATTGAAATTTCGAGTTTCGGATTACTAAAAGATGTAACGATCATAGTAGCTGTTCATAACAGACTGCCGATTGATGTGAACAATGACAGCCCTCTAGTTAGCTTTGAAAATGCGTGAAATTGATGAGGACTGTTGTCGAGATGTCGTTTCTAAGGGCAAGTTCTATCTTAAGGAGAATCCATTCAGTCGATGATAATGCGAATCTTCCTCGACGAGGGTTATTTATAGATATCTGGAACCATTTGGTTTTCTAAATGGTTTTTTAAATTGTCTAAAACCTTTTGATGATTTATTGGTAAACGAACCAAATCTTGAAAGGTTCTGAATGAATGCTGAAACGTTAAATAGTTACCCGTTACCCGTTTTTTTTACAGAGTAATTAGCTCTCATCTTAATCTTCTTTTTATAAAGTTTCTTGTAACGAATATATTTGTCAGTCACAGTTAAAGGGATATCATTCAAGCATATAAAATTATATCGAATAAATACAACATCTTTGTTACAGATTGTTTTAAATAATGAGTGTCTGTCATTAACCGTAGCATTTCAAAGAACAATGAATTGAATTAATGCATAGGAAGAAAACATCGAACTATTATCAGAGTTTAACGCACTTTCAAACCTAGAGTTCGATGTTTATCATGTGTTTGCATAAAATGTTAAGAATGATATCAGTAACATTGATAAAGGATAGTTGAGTGTGAGAATGAAACAAACCAAGGTTCTTTTTTCTTCATACCAATTCTCTATAGATAGATAGATAGACATCACAATATGTTGCCAATGCTTCAAATATTTCTACTGATATGTACAACTTTACTGTATGATAAATGTAACACTAATCCAAATCCTAGTTCCAGTAATGATCATGTTTCCTGTGAATTGTTTGCTTCCAATTTTGCAATAAAACTTGTTCCAAACGTTAGTAAACTTCTTGTATGGATATCTACATTATATCAAATATTATATCTTATACTTCAATCATCTTCACCAACTTCAATTCCAACATTTTTTCCACAAATGTCAGAACTTACTGATCCCTTACCATTGACACTAGTTTCTATGCTCGGTTACATGTTAATGATCATTGGAGGATTGGGACGGGTTTGGTGTTTTAAAACGTTAGGAAGATTTTTTACCTTTGAAGTAACTATTCGTGATTCTCATAAGTTAATTAAGACCGGTCCATATGCTTATGTACGTCATCTATCGTATACATTTGCTATAATTTTAATAACTGGAATGTGTCTGATCCATCAACAATTAGGAGACTTGTTTCCTGAAACATATTGGACAAATATTATCTTTGCTCCTCTCTCATTTTTCCCTCGACTGTAAGGAGGGTCATGTCGAAAAAAAGTGGTCAAAAAACGGAAATTCGTTTGTTTGTGTGTGTGTGTGTGTGTGTGTGTGTCTGTCGCAGGTCAAAGGTCAAAGGTCAAATGGCTATTTTTCTAGAATTGTTCAAAACTTCATGAAACATGGTTTTGAAGGAGTCTTGAGGCTGGGACTTGGGTGAGGGGGAGTGTGTGAGGTCGGGTCAAAAGAACATCACATCCGGGGTCAAAGGTCAAAAAAACATTTTCTGCAAAAACGCTCAAAACTTCATGAAACATGGTTTGGGAGGGTGGTTGAGGATAGATGTTGGCAGGGTGGGGGGGGGGTGGGGGCGAGGGTCGAGGGGCAAAGGTGAAAAAACAGTTTGTCCAAAAACGCTCAAAAGTTCATAAAACGT